AATTGCGTTTTTCGATAACTGATGTAGATAGTCGATACCACTGATACCAGGATGCAATCATCAACCGATAAACGCAAAATGTGACCCTATCTTCATAGTACGAAACCTAATACTACAACACTGCAGGCTAAAATATTGGATGAAAATTGACATCATTTTAGTCGAAAATAATGTGGAGGAAATTGGAGACCAACCTTTTTCGTTGTGGTAGAAAATGGACAGTGGAGGAAATCGGTATTTTGTCTTTGGAGGAAAAAGGAATCGCCCATTATGATAATTATTTGGATTTCGGCGGTACCACAACACAATAATTACAATGGTACGTGACAYAGRTAGTCGGTATACCGCGGTACGGGGAATACCAATAATATTATATAATAATACGATTATCGACGAGACGGCGATAGTAAAAGAAAAGTTTCAATTTACTTCCCGCGGATGTCCGGTGTAGTCCGCGACTGTGGATTCTGTGCAGGCGACGGTGCGGGCGACGGACAGCGACCAACAGACGACCAATAAACGACGGACAGCCAACATGATTGCGAGTTGTCGGCCTGCGACAATTAATGTGGTTCGGTATGACACCTCTCGCGCGTCCGTTCTACAACCGCGATGGCGTGCGTATGAACGACATCCAACCGACTACCGAGGATACCGCGTGGGTATATAAACGGAACCGTGGACATGTTCATTCAGATAATATTATATTGTGGTTGCGAACGGTGGTATAAAAAWTCCGGTATAAACGTCGCATACCAACATAATCAAGTAAAAAAAAAAAAAATATGCTAGTGACTTTTCTTTTTCTTTTTTAATCGTAACCACGATCAGTTGCGAATAAGTAAATAAGTGGTTGAYTTGTACTCATTAACTAATACTTTATAAAATTAAAGTCTATCGTCGGTTAACATGTTTTATGTAATATACATATATCATTGATATATACACAATAGTCAAGTAAATAGAATCGTGAAATTATTAATGATACTATGTAGAACAAGGACTTTAATGAACTATAAAGTAAAAAAAAAAAAA